TTATCATATTAATAACATAATAGAAATTGAAAGTACCCTCAACACTTAGCGAAGTAAGGATCATTGTTCTTACTAGCCGACATGGAGCAGAACAACTCTCCTTGGGGACATATCGTCATACTGAAATGGTGCAGAGATAACTGATAGACTAACTGAACAATCACTCGCTGCAACAAACGTGTACTCCTTCTCAGTCTTATACTCGGGCTTATCATCTTTCTATATTCATGTACGTCATCTCTGCCAGTCGTAGTCAATAAGGAACTCATTCCAAAGGTACGACTATGAGAGTACGTTTAGAAGAAGTTCTTCATTGACCATGAGTGTCTCGTACATGCGAAAAGCGAGATGAACATTTAGTGATCTGTAACATCAACATCGATAATCACAAAAATATGAACCAACTTCACCTTTAGCGAGTAGCCTGTGTCCAAGTCCCCTCAAGTTATATCATGAACCATGATGTCCTGAAAGATATAAACAGGGTGTTACGAAGGAAAACATACTCACCAAGATTGTCCTACCTCATCGACTGAAAACTTCTTTCAGAATCTTCTCGAACCTTGAAACAACATCAAGCAACCATATAAGTTCCGAATAATTAAACAGAAATTCATGAAAAGCAGAGAAAAACAGAAAAAAGTTGAAAAACTTTTGGAATTTTTCCAGATTTTTATTGGTCCCGACACGACACCCAAAGAGTGGGAAAAATTAAAAATTCAAAAAATGCAAAGTTAAGCGTCATAGTTTCGTCTCCCCCTAGGGATCTGGTCACGTACGACCGTGAGACGTGTGAAGTTGCACGTACTTATGAACTTCTCCGCCGTACATCGTGCTGTGTCGGTTTTCCGCCATAGGAAGCTCAGTCATTTTCTTGATTGAATTGAACTATATTTTTTTATAATTTTTTATTTGTTGTATGTCAAATATGAAAAAAAAAGTAAAACTGTCGCATGCTCTCGGGATTGGATTCCAAAAAAAAACAAAAAAAAACGTTTTCGAACTTCGTAATGAAGAAGAATGCAAATGTGAAGAATGAAAATACTTAAATGAGTACAAAGATGTATAACAATCATATTATTAGATGAATGATTAATAGTTTGAGCTTTAACCTCTTCAATAAGAGCCAGCAAGTGAAGATTAAACAGAAATAAATGACTATTATGATAGTAGTATATAGTCAATGATGATCATCAAAGACATCCATATTTACACCAGGAACACATTGGAAGGCATCAGAATGTAGTTTGTGGGAGAGAACGTAGGTTCAGTTTCATATCAATCGATCCCTCACATCATTAGTTTGTCCGTTTGTCTAGAATGGAAAAGGCTGTTAACAACTCGCTCATCATGTCTTTAGTTACCTGCTTATCTTCCCAACCCTTTCTTTCACTTGAAAACATTTTCATCTGTTCTTGCAGAGCTTCTTTTAGAGTAGCCACTTCATCACGTAATGATGAAACTTCTGATCTAATGCTCGTATCGGAATCTTTCTGCTGGCGTGGAGCTGGTATAGGTTTTTCTCTTCTATTACATTCTTCGCAGACTCGTGGCTTATCAAAATGGGATTTCATTGATGCAAGCTCCCGTTCTATTTGGAAACACTGCAATCGATAACAATATATTACGCTTCGACTGAACGCTTACCTTTCTGAGCAATCCCGACTTCTCGTCTCTTAAGCCTTCCACTGTCCTTGTGAGGGTTTCCGTTTGTCTCTGACAACCGGCAAGCTGAGTTCGAAGACCTTGTTCGCCACGTTCGGCAGCAGCCAGCCGTTGACGAAGCTGGTCTAATTCTTCTTTCCATAACTTCTCCTTCTCTTGATAAACTTTTACAATAATCTCCTCATTCTGTTCCATAGTTGAACGAACTTCTCGCAGTTCATTTTCTTTGTCACGAATTACGGCCTGTAAACAGAACTTGAGAAACGATTATTAGTATATTCACAAACTTCAAAATCAACAATTCCCGAATCACTAGGTGAAGGAGTGATATGAACTCCAGACGCACTTCTTCCCAATGATGGCTTCTGGTAGAACTGTTGGTACTAGGTAAACTTAAATATGCAAATTACCTTGTTTGTACTGGAAGGACTGCTTAAATGACTACTTCCAGTTCCACTGGATGCCATGGAAGAGGTAAGTTTGGGTGGAACAAACGATCCATAATCAGAGCCACTCGAACAAACTACAAGAATGACAGTATCACACAGTTGATTTGAGGTAATAACTTACAATCACTAAACTTTTCTTTTTCCAAATACTCTGGCACTGTGTCATATTCGTTTTCGATTGGCTTGTTCGAAACAGGGAAATTGGTTGTTTGTTGATAAATCTGTCGAGGACGTTGAACTTGATTGTTCGAGTTACATATGTAAGAAGCATTCTTATTAGCATCGCTGAAACAGAAGAGAGAGAGAATGAGGTAACGAATTGATGATGAAACAAACCCTCGAATGACTTGTCTTTCAAAATTCCTCATATCTTGTGATTGACGTAGTTTGTAATCTTCAAATGTTTGGTTTGTAACAGGTCGGAATGCAATAGGCCGAAGTATATCGTCTCCCTTCAAAAGAATGAAATCAGATGAGAAAGGTAGCGTTTGAGAAGGAATAACTTGTGAAGCAAGCAAAGTTCATAACGACGGCAAAAAAGGGTAAAATGATTCAGATTTAGGCTAAAGATAGTACGTTGTGTTCTTGAAATTACAAGTAAATTGCTTAAAAACGATTTTGAAAATGAGATTATGGAAAGGTGGGAAGAGAGGAGGGGGGGAGGAGATGGTGAGAGGTAATGAAAAAACATTTTTGTTGATTCAATATGTTAATAAATGAAAAAAGGAGAGAGAGAGAGAGAGAGAGGTAGGTAGGTATAGAGGTAGGGAGAGCGAGAAAGAAACACATCAAAAGAACCTTGAGAATCATCGGAGGGGGTCGCTTGAGACACAGAGGGGGAAACACAGAGAGGGAGAGAGAGAGAAGAAGAACTAAAAAAATGAAAGATGAAAAGACTTACAGTTGGTTTAACACCCGAATGTGGTGTTATTCGAACAGGTGGAGGTAGATTGAATTGTGAAGTCTTAGCGAAATCTATAATATAATATAGATTAGCATAGTTAGCAGAGTTATTGGCACTTACTATCCATTGTGTTCATAATTTTTTGTAAACTATTCATATTTTGATAGTGAAAAGTGAGATCTTTTTGACTGACTGAATTCTCTTTTGACTTTAAGGTTCTATGCTCCATTCCATCAATAGGTGATATACTGTAATATAATTATATAATTAAGAGGATATAATTAAGATTGTTTGAATAAACACAAACAAGAAATGATTGACAAGCATAGATGAAAGAGAAAAAGCCGCCATTAGATGAAACAAGATGAAACAAGCAGTCATCATCATCATCATCATTTTCCTTATTTGGTTCTTCAACATTTTCATTCCTCTGAGGATGATTATGAAAACAAAAAAACAAAAAAAAAGGAAAAATTGATGATTGAGATCGATTAGTTGATTAGTTTCCTCAATACTTCCATTGTAATGATGATGATGATGGAATTGAGGTTGATTGTAGACGAATTTGGTACAAGTATCACCCAATCACATAAATAGAAAATCCATAAATAGCCAATTCTTTCAAAGGATAAAAAGAGAGAGAGAGAGAGAGAGAGAGAGAGAGAGAGAGAGAGAGAGAGAGAGAGAGAAAGAGAAAGAGAAGCAAGAGAGAGTATGAGAGAAAGATAAAGAAGAGTATTAAGAGGAGGAAATAGAAGAAGGGAGAGAGAAAAGAGAAATATGGAAGGGGGGGGGATACTGATTGACGAAAATTATGGTTACGACCATATGACGGACCAACGGTGAAGTAATATTAGTCGTCAGTATGATATCCGCATGATCAAGGCCAATATGCACATCATCTTGAATGTGAAATTGTTTTTCGTAATTTCATCCATCTGCACATGGGTGCTATAGATGTCTTCAAATGATATACATCAACATTTGATTAGATAATATGAAAAGCCTTGTTACAGAAATACCAAAAATGGAAAAATAGAAATGGCTGAAACGATAGTGAGAGAGAGAGAGAGAGAGTAGAGGAGGGTGGGGGGTGGAGATGAGACAAGTAGAGTCAAACCGTCGGTTGACTTATACCACCATATATCCATTCGCTCACATCAAAACAACAACAATTTCTTCTTCAATAAACCTTCATAGAGATCGTCAAGTTATTTGAGAGAGTGTCTTCTCAGCGTTTTTGTGATGACAAAGAGATGGAGGACAATAGTATAAATGAATAAAAATTATTTGCCGGAGGCCAATTGAAAGCTTAACAACCTGTTCCCATGTGTTCATAGTAAGGAGAAACACCAAAAAGGCATTTTGAACTATAAGATGTAGATTGAACGAGAAATAAACATATAGCAAATAGAACGAATTCTGTGTTAAAATCTGATAAAAGCTTTACACACCCACGTGAGAAGGAAGAAGTAAGAAGGGAAGTGAGAGAGAGAGAGGGAAGAGAGAGAGAGAGAGAGGACATAGGAATCGTTTTTTGAATCAAACCTCAACGGCAATATTTTACAAATTTTATTGGAAAAATGATGAGACAAGGTAGTAATCTTTCATCCTACTGTCTTCATCTTGAACAGAGAACAGGAGACAGACGAAGAAGTAGCAGAGGAAGAAGAGGAAGAGGAAGAAGAAGTAGAAGATGAGGAAAATGGTTTGTGAAGATACATAATTCGGTTGGAGAGGAAGGAAGGCAAAACCGTTTAATCGGACTGTCAGATGATGTATGAAAATGACATAATGACCTTAGATGAGGGTTTCTCAAACTAAATTCTTTTCGTTCAACACATAGCAGCACACACATGAGAAAGAGAGAGAGAGACAATTCGTTTTCAATTAAATGTATTTTGATGAAGCATTGAAGAGTGAAGAGTTTGAATGAAAAAAAAAATCATAAATTTCCAGTAAAAGAGCAGCTGACAGAGAATGACTGTGAGATCAAATGAGAATGAAGTTGAGATCGTTTAGCTTTTGGCTATAACAGACACAAGGACAGACAAGACAGACAGATAGAGATGGATGAAGGATGTAAGACTATTAAACTTTTGAAATTTAATTATTGAAAGTTGAAAATCGTGTTGTTCCAAAAGGATGTCCATGTCGACGAATATGTTATAATCAGGTAAAGGATAATGCTTAGCCTGCTAGATGTTGCTGACAGACCGGTGAGAAATCCGGTTATATAATAGGATTTGCATCGCTGATTTCCTCATGAGGATACCATGTTGGAGGAAAAGATAAAAAAGATAAGAAAAAGGAAAAAAAAGAAGAGAAGAAAGCAAGCTTCATCTAGCAAGCAGCTCATTACATCCAAGACGATCTTCAATTGAGAGACAGAGAGGGACAGTGAGAGAGTGAAATAAGCAAAAAGGGAGATAAAGAGAGAAAGAATGATGAAAGAAAAAAGATTTTCGAACGATAACATTAGGTTCAATGAAGGAAATCAAGCAAAGATAGTATTCATGAATATAATATGTTGGAAGATGTGTGGAAAGCCGATGTGCAACTGTCTTGTGTGTCAATCAGGGTGACCTAAAGCCTATACTCATTCGTAAATTCTGGTGTGTCAAATGTGGCAAGACGTAAGACAAACAATCATCATAGGTCAAGCCTATGAAGTAAAGAGTGAGAAAGAACATGTAGAAACTTCTCACGAAAGCTGCTCAAACAGTATTAACAGATTTCATTGTGACATGAATACATTAGGAAGGAGGAAGAATGAGACTCAGAAAATGGTATACAACTGCTTGAATGCTTGTGATTCAATATGCTTCATACATGAGTATGATTGTAACATGATCTGTAGATATGATCGTCAAGGCGTAATAGATTGCAAAAGCTTCAATGACCATTACGGGAAGCATGAAACGGAAAAAAGGAAAAGCAGCAAACAATCATCTATTAAGAGGTTACTTTAAACCTTCATGCCTTATGAAATGTACCAGCCCAGGAGATATTTGTACGGCTTGAGAGGAGGAGCGAGAAAGGAAAGAAAAGAAAAGAAAGACAAGAAGAGGATTAGTTTTCGTGGTAAGACCATCTGGCGGACACTTGTCTTGACTGCCACAAAAAGGCAGTTTATTGGTAGTTGATGGTACACCCCCAAAACGAAAATAACAAGAGTTCAATAAGGATGAGAAGATAGAGAGAAGAACGAAGAAGAAGAAGAAAAAAGATTTACAAAGGTTCAATTGGATATTTTACAGGCAGTAAGGCAGGCAAGCCGTGAGGCAGATAAGCGTGATCATGCGAATGAATGAAGGAGAGCCTGGTCATCTCTTATTGATGTAACAGAAAGGATTGTTGTTCAAGCAGCTGATAAACAATATGAGATAGCTTGAGTATTTGAAAAAAAAGAAAAGAAAGTTAATTATATGATATAGTATACAATAGCTATATGATATAGGTGTGGAATGAGATTGAATGAATGGAAACTGTTTTCAAACGATAAGTCAAATAGGAAATGTAATTCAATCTATGATACTTCAATATGCTTCAAAGCTTTTAAAGAAATGAAACAAAAATGGTCGTAGCATAAGTACCAGCCTGGTTGTTTTAAAAGGAAAGTGTTAAAGGTAACCGACAAAGATTGTTGATGGCGGGGGATGGTGAGAGGGGGAGATGGTTGGTGAGAGGATGAGACGTCTTAGGAACGTCGTCAAGTGGCCAGAACGATTGAGATTACAGAAGGCGATAAGATGAGACCAAAAAACTGTTGGCAGAGAGAAGAAATCAAAAGAAGTTCAAATATGTATATTCATATGAATTTTGTTTATAATAATGCACAATACGTATTTAAGATAGAAAAATGGGGAGAGGAGGAGAGAGAGGAATGTAAGGAGATTGGGAGGGAGCATGAAGGCAAACAGTATGCAGACCAGAAAATATGTGAGGAAAACTTGAATAAACATGCATTTTGAAGAGAAGTCAAGTATGGACAAAAAAATAAAATTCGAATCACAATATGAATCAAGCTGTATGAGCTATGAATACGACGATCAATGAGCAGATTCAGAATCTGACTGTATGACGCAACTGTAGCTTAACTGTAAGACATAATTATGTTGAGAGAAGGCAGATGCTGCTACTTCCTCGTACACAAAATCAGTCGAAGAATGTTTGGATTCATCTTTTGGTTAATTATATGTCATAGATTATTAATAATACAGGTTCGTTCTACTAGAGGTTTACATGAAGCTGGATAAATCATCCATTATAATCCGTATGATTAAACTGGGATTAGCACATAAGTCTTCAATAGGTGAAGGGAGGAGGAGGGGGGGGGATAGGGTAGGAAGAGAAGAAGAAGGAATGTAGGTTGTGCTGCTGAACAACTCCCAACTTGAAACATTCATTATACTAAGGAAGTTTGAAGAGCTAAAAGTGAGTTGAGTATCTACTTGCATCGTCTTAACGCTTCAAAGCTAACTAGCTACTCATCTAAGCTTCAACGTCTTCATGAATTTCTCATGTGTTGTTCACTCATTTTTGTTTATGAAGTGAACAATCGGATGTCTAAACATTTGAAAGACGAAAAGACGATTGCGAGGAAAGTTGGAAGGAAAAGGAAAATCAAACAACATAACGTATAACATATAGTTAGCTTTCTCATCATCTTATACGTTAACTAACATAAAAAGAGAAGCGACAATAGGAGCAGCAGAAGCATAGAGGATTAGAATATAACATATGTTAAGAAGAAGAAGAAGAAGGCGAATGAAGATGAAAAAACAAATCAGAAGAGTACTGTTCGCTGCTGAGAAAGAGCCTTCACACCACAATACACACATCATGTTATGAGATGAGAAGGATATGAATCACATAGTTAATCATTATAACTATTTATATATAATTAAGCTAATATATATGAAACTAACTATATATACGATAGTATTTTGTATAAAATTGAAAAGAAGAATTGTTATTAGAAAATGGAGAAGGCCATCTTCTATTGAATACGTGTGATTATGATGAGCATCTGGAGCATCTGATTGACTATACAGATGACACATACAATGTAAGAAGAGAAAAAAGACGGCTGTCTACCCCCACCGGATTAATTATCCTTCCTAATTGAGAATTAAGGAAGAAGAACAGTAAATGGCTACTACATCCACATATATATGTGAATGAGGAGAATGATATAAGTTGAATGAAGTATCATCCTACTACATCACAAAAAGAAATAAAAAAAAAGAAAGAGGGAGAGAGGGTATAAGAGAGAGAGAGAGAGAGTGAATGAGCGATGAGTAAGGATCGAGAACAGAAAAAAAAAGATGTAGGTATAGCAAGGGTTAAGAGAGGAGAATGTGAGAGAAAGAGAGAAAAAGAGGAATCTGTTGAGGTCGACCTGAATGTACCGTCTGGATAAGATATGTGGCATATGAATAGCTTCTTACCACATGCTCATTCAAGAAACTGTTCATTTGTCCTCAAGACTCTCTCCATTTGCATATATCAATCATAGTTACCACTTAACTAAATTCCTTTTAATGAAAATAGTTGGATAGCATCGTGTGCTTCTTCTATCCATTCTATTTTCAAAAACCTCTGACCATATGCTATAACCTACTGTTACCCGTACATCATCATAACCATCTGATAGCGAAATATGATGCTTATATAAGAAATATACTATATACTATATATATATATAGTATTATAATGATCTCTTAGATTTAAAGATCAACAAGATGACAACATACAGATGATGAGAGAAGGAGGAACGAAGCAGAAGAAAGCAGAATTACGAGAAAATGAGAAAAACTGTGAAACATACATGTTGTCTTTGAGAGCATTCGTTGCGGATTTGGATGAATGGAGAGGTCGAGGCGATCGTACAGACGTCCAATCCAGAAGAACATCAGTTGCTGGCATTGTTGAGGAATATTGTGATCTGAAATATAAAAAAAAAGAATTTATATGAATTGAAATGAATGAAACGAGAAAGAGAGGAAGAGAGAGAGAGAGGGCCATGAGGTGATGGAGGAGAGGTGCTGGTGAGGACAAGGAAAGAAGGAAAAAAAAACGAAATTTGAAAGTGTGAGAGGGGCTTGAATGAGGAAAAAGCGATGTAAGAAGGGGTTAAAAGAAAAGTTTTCTGCTGATGAATGACCAGTCGTTGCTGAAGATTTCTCGTCTTTTTTCGGGGTCGAGTATCGACACGAAAACGAAGACGAATGAGCCATAGTGGACAACTGACAAACTGATTTCATTTCTCTTATGGCACAAGTGAAATGGAGATAAACGTTCAAAAACACTATTAGATGAGGGTTATCAATTGTTGATGATTGGATATAGTAACCAACTGATTTACATATAAGGAAGGATAAGTGGATGGCCTAGTAAGAGAGAGGGAGGAAGGGAGGAAGAGAACTGAGGGAGGCCAGTCATCTATCAAAAGCCCTTCCGACATGTTAGAGAAGTAAACTAAAGAGGGAAAAAGCCAAAAAAAGAAAGAAAGAAATAGCACAACAAATGTAATTTGCATAGACGAAGGAGACGGAACGAAACGAGGTGGACATCAATGTCCAAAGAAATTTGATAAAACTCGCCTTTCTCAATGAAATTGGATCTTTCGTTTGGTTCTATTGAGTAAGAAGTTATCAGTCAGTTGTTTGCTATGTAAAATACACAAGTTATAGTTTCCAAAGGATAAAGCTTATCTCACTGACCACTTCGTTTTTCAAAAATGAAAAGAAAATTGAAAACGCCTGAGGGGGGATTGCGAGGTGGGGGGGAAGGGGAGGAATGCAACCGATTTGTGTCTAAACAAATCGTTTTTAGATAAGAATTAATCTTATTTAATACTTTACAATAAACACAATCAAAAGAAAAACTGAGAAAAGAAAGGATAACAACTGTCTCACCTGTTAGTAGGAGGAGGTTCACTCTGATCTTTAGCTCGACGTCCTGTATGTAGTTTCGTTTTCCATTTTTGGAGACGGTCTGTTGATCCATGAGTAAGATCATGTAATCCTGAATACAATCATGTCATTCATTCACGTTGTGACCATCAGTATAATACCTTTTGATAAACGATCAGCTAAGCTTTCTCTACCACGATCAGTAAGATGAATTTCCGATGTGGACATTGCTGGAGGAATTCTACGTGCTCTCATTTCGGCTTCAGAATCAGATGGAGCAAACGGTTTCGTTTCTCCTTGATTATCAGCTAATTCGAGCAACGATTTAGTAGCTTCTGCTAATCGCCTGAGGGATATATGTGTGAATGATGTGAAAGATAACACAAAACCTACTTTAAATCAAAGTTATCACTGTTCGTGACAATACGTGAAGAATCTTGATTTGTAGCTTTGGAATTGTGAGAGACAGTCTTCTTGCTATAAGAACATTGAATAAGTAATCAATAATGAAAGTGAATGAGATGATAAGTAGTAAAGCATGATTATCATCATCACAGATGATATGATATGAACATATCCATATAAGGATCATCATCATCATCATTACTACCAACTATGGACATGTATGGATTGCGAGAGAGAAAATATGTAAATTTCAAGAAAGAAAAAAATCTTTTTTGATTCCTTCTTTCTCCAAACTACATTATATACAATTGAATAAACAATTTATATTCAAATTTGTATTTGAAAATGACCATTTATGGTATTTGTTTGATCTCAAATGCATTACAACTGACGGCCAATCGAGCTACTTTCCGGTTGCTACGATTCTTTCATCTGGCCTCCAGCTGATAGTCAGCATTGTTTGGCTTTTTGACGAAACAAAATCTTTTTTTTTGTTCATCATCATTTCTCATATTGTTATTTGAATAGAAACAAAGGAGAAGAAAAATAATTTCAGATGATTACCTGCTTTCCTTATTAGGCTCTTTCGATGATTTAGGTGATTGTAAGCTAAGCTGTTCAGAAGCTTTAACAACAGGAGCAGCAATCTGTAAGCAATAGAGATGTTATAGATCAACGTCTAATCATCTAGTTGATACCTCAACTTTCAGAATATTTCGTTTATTCTTTTCGTCTTCTTCACTTGTATCTAAAGTGGCAGAATCGACGTCGAACTGTGTCGTCGTCTGAAAACACAAATGAAATCAGACGCGTCAAATTATTACTTAAAAGGGATTGCAAGTGAAACGACAATGTTTGAAATGTAATTGCTGAAATTTCGAATTCGACAACATTGCCGACAACATCATCAAACAGGTTTAACAAACAACACAAATTACCTCAGATAATTGTTCCTTATTTGATGAATTGTCGTCGTCGCAATCGATATCGTCGTTTGATGTCTTTCGTAAGGCTCGAGCCAAATGCTCAGCTTGTTCGGCTAACTCAGCTAACTTCAATTCAACCTGTAATCATGTTGTTGTTGTTATGAGATGATGACAACACATTTTGATAACATGCACAACTGATTAGCATAAATGCTTTCCGTGACTACGTGAATGACAATTCAACCACATGGTCAGCGGCGCGGTATTTATGCTAACTAGAAACCCCGATGACCAACAGTTAGATGAAGGTATGTTAAAATAAGAAAAAGGAAAAGCTTACTAATTGAGAGTAAGAACCGTTTGTAACGGGATTCGACTCGTCGCAGATTTTCGCTTTCTGAATAGAAAAAACTTATGAACGACAATTAACACGTGAGCAATTTAGCTTGGACACTTGAGATCAAAAAGTGCTTTCGGTTGGAAGAGAGAAGGACTTCGAGGGAATAGAGGAGGGTATAACTGAGTTTGAAGAATTCCGGAAGAAACAAAGCCGGATAACGAGAAGATAAACTAGAACGGACAGAGTTGCGATGACAAGAAAAAAAAGGAAAAAAGCGAATGGTCTTCTTGACGAAAACGGCTGAGATGAATGAAAGGGGAGAAGCACAGGAAGAATGTGCTTTCGCCAACCATTGGGTTGGAATCGGAGGAGCCATGCAACGAAGACAAAGAAGTCGCCGACTTATGCTTGGAACGAGGAAGATTTATCAGCTTATTGGTGAGAACAAATAACATAAATAGTCAGAAGTGGAATGAACAAACAGGAACTCATTATGAGATCTTTGTGATTCAGATGATCATCAAGGGTGAGCATCGTTAAATGGTCAGATCAAAGGAAGGTAGAAGCAAAGGATTAGGATGTAAGCTGCCCACCTTCACAAGCTTCAATGAGGATTGATGGAAAAAAACCTCTGGATGAGGAAGAACTTAAGGACAAACAGATGCAAAACCAGTCTTATGAAGAGAAAACAATATTCTCTCAGGTTTTATCTGTTTGAAATATTGTTTCGGACAAACGAAACAACCAATGAATGATGTTGATAGAGTAATTGCCTTGAAGATGGTACAACTCTCATATGATCAACTCAAAATGTAAAAAAGTTGAGTTGAAAGAGAGTGAATCAATGGTTAAGCAGAAAGGATAGAAGAGATTGACGCAGAATGATCAGAATACTGAGGACAGAAGAAGTTAGGGGGGGAGGGAGGAAGGAGGGGGGGGGATAGAAGAGAAGGGATTGCTAAAGTTCTATGAAAGGACATCTCAGGAATGTGGGAAAGGATAAAGTGAGATTGAGGTTCTTTATACACAAAAGAGAAAACCTACAATAGAAGTTTTCAGAAGGAATATGATCAACACAACCTTTCAGACGTCTTATGAAAAGCTTGGGAAAGTTTAAAAGTTTCAAAATTACATGTCTAGACACACACAGCAATAAGAAGGGAATAAAGAGATAGAGAGAGAGAGAGATGTAAAGAGAGAGAGAGTAGGGTAGGGGGGGGGTAGAAGGAGCTAATATATATCCAAACATTGTATATTAAACGTTTCCATACTAGATAATTCTTAATATAAACTAGCCCATTTACGACAGGCATTCATTCACTTCTCTCTCTCTCTGTCTCTCTCTCTCTCTCTGTCTCTCTTTAATCCTTTGCAATCTTCCGAAAGCAGTAATGAGAATAAGGAAAGAAGGAAGAAAGAAGGAAACAGAAGAAGCTTACCTTATCCGATTTCTTAGTTTCAGAAGAAGTCAAAGAAGAAGTCTTTTTCGGTGCTGCAACTGTTAGCTGAGCTTTTTCTTGAGATATATGAGGAATGATGATTGGAACAGAGATCGTCTTGTGAGCAGCTTCTCGACAACTGAAATGAAAAAAAAATTTTTTTTTTGGATCATGAAAATGAGTAATTGGAGAGAAACAAAAAAATGAATAAATATCTTTGAAAGAAAGACTGTTTTTATCATTTATCCATCTGTGATTCTCTATTTCGGAATTTTCAAATGAAAGAGGCAATGGGTCGGACAGCTGTAGCCGGCCTTCATCATCATCATCATCATCATCATCATCATCCTCATTTCCTCTTTTTGTATTGGTGAAACCATTTGATTTCAAAAGTTTGTGTGTATGTGTATGTGTTAGTGAGTGAGTGAGTGAGTGTATGTAGTATGTATGAACGAATGAGAGTGAATGTGTTGAGAAAATAATTATTTGAACAAGTAGCAGAGACCTCTACAATACTTTCAAAATATCCGATAAGAAGGCGAAGACGTCAGATATTCAGCGAAATGTTTCAATACGTATGAGATGAGTGATGATGGAAGGAAGCACATCGTCGTAAGATGCTGAAGGAAAACAACAACCATCACCATCAGAAGGCGAATGAGAAGGAAGATTAAACGGCAAATGCATACAAAAGGAATAAACACTAACAAATAAACCGTAACAAAGCTTGATGAAGAATAAGCTTTCTGAGGTTCGTGACAAGACCAGAAACGCCACATTCAAGCAGTGATACTCTCTCTCTCACTTTCTCTCTCTCACACACTTCTTCCAACTTCACCGAATATTTCATTTTGAAAATGAATGAAAACATGAAAGCTATAGAATCAAGTCATTTTTTTTTCTTTTCAAATACGCCCTCTGAATACAGTGTGAATCAGGCTATTACGGATTAGTCATGCGTGATGAGGGAAATCATCTTCTTCATCATCCGTTAGTTGGATCATTTACAGTTCTTTGAAAGAGGAGAGGATGTCGGGTTGGAGGGAAGTGGGTGAGAAAGCAAAAAACAAGAAAAGCAATCGCAAAACTTCTACTAATTTGTGGGAGAATATTGTAGAAGCTTCTAACCAGAGCAAGGGCGCTAAGAGATCTGGCTAATACAGAGAGAGGGGGAGGTAGAGAGAGAGAGAGAGATGAAGATGAAGAGAGTGAAAACCATTAACTCACCTTTTGGAATCCAAAAGCGAATTATTCAATTCGAATGTTCGGAAAATGGTGGTTGTCTTGTGTTGTTGTACAGAAGACTTCTCATTCTTGTTGTCAATCATCTTTTCGGACCAAAAAAGGAGAATCCGACGTCGATGTAGATAATTAACAAATCAATAATTATGCAAATTATGAAGAAGAGTGATTAAGCAGTCACTTTGTAAACACAGATATTCTTCTTCAAACAAGGTCAAGGCTCGTAGTACAACAGAAAAAAAAGGAGAAAAGAACGTGTGAAGTCGAGGTCAAACTTTGTAGGCTTCACTTAGTTGTTCATTAACTTCTTCAATTTCTGATTGATTGATAGAATATGATATTGAATAGATTAAGCTGAGTATGGTAGCTTAACGAATGCAATATAGGTTGAGTAAGTTAGTGCATATGTAGAAATGCAAATCTCAAGATCTATCGAAATTTAAAATTTTCGCAGCTCGAGAGCTTCTTCTCAACGAATAAATGAGATGATGAACGGCCAACAGTTCTCGATTCAGCAGACAATCGTCGTCGTTGAATCAAGTGCTGTTTCAGTGCGAATACAAGTAGTCACTTCGTTCAGCTTTTCCTTTGTAGCTTTGCAACACAAATTTGCAGGTGATAAGTGAACAATTGAAATGCCTATGCCCTGAGGGGTATTGATGGAGGCTTGGCCTTAAATTCTATCAATCTCTCTTCCGCTCTCCCAATATTGCATTCTATTTCTACATATTGCAGAAGCTACTATTGGACAGGAACAGGTGGACGTTCCGATGAGTTTTTACAACAAACGATCATTTCCCAATTTACGTTAACAATTATTTTTTTATCCGTAATACCTTATGGCTTCTTCAATGACAAGAATGATAAGTGAAGAAGACACAACCGCTCTACTACCATTTGCATGACAGAAATGAATTCACGTGACGAATATGAGATGAAGCTCGTAACAGTGAAATATGCTAATTTCAAAGATGATTTACAGGTTTTCTTTCTCCTTCATCTCTCAAGAAGGAAAAGCTCTTGGGATACATAAAACGTAAGAGAAGGATCCTCTTCTCCGCCCTAGTTCGTAGAAGCGCAATCAATCAAATAAAAAAAAAGTTGCAAAAAGCTGTTGGCATCAGTGGAGTGATGAACGAATCAAACGGAAAAAAAAAGCAGAAAAGTCGTTTGCAAGTAGAGTAAAGGGGGCAGAGGGAGAGGGAGAGGAGGACGAGGATGGGGTTAGGGGGGGGGGGGGAGATGGTTGGAAGAAATAAGAAAAAAGAAATTTCATGCTAATCTGCCATGTGTTTTCCACAAATTATATGACAAGGACATTCACGTAACATCAAAATCCGTCAGATGACGTCTCTCTCTCTCTGTATCTCGCTCGCTCTCTCTCTCTATCTTGCTTTGTAAAATTCCAAAACGAAACAGTTAAAAAGAAGTTCGTCATGACCTCGACACAAGTCTTTCAAAACTCTTTTTATGATTTTTCAAAGAATCTGTAAGTTCCTTTGAGAACATCATCCCGCTGGTCATCATTAGAGATTCTAAGTAGGAAGACTCGAGCTAATTAGGAGTGCGAAAAGAGAAATGAAGAGAGAGAGAGAGAGATAGAGAGAGAGAGAGAGAGGAAGAACTGTGAGAGTGAATCAACAGAGTCATCTTAGACTCATATGATTCAGCTTGATGTATTCATCAAAAATATTTCAAAAAGAAAATTGGAATTAGATGAAGAAAGCTGATAGATATAAACCACATGTTAGACGTTATACTACTATCTGAAACATCAGAAGATGTTGATGATGAAAGCTTTAGATGACCAACATAGATCATTAAACTCTCCAAAAAGCCTGACGAAGGCATAGACGATGTTACGATATGAGTGAATGGGGTGTAGTTGTGCAACATAGCCATTGCTACAACGAAAAAACCAAGATTAATGAAAAGCCTGGCTAGAGTACATGTATGAAATCAATCGGTTGACGCCCAAGCTTCTTCAAGTTGGACGCAAAGCAAAAAAAAATATTTGATTAAGTTACTTCCGTCTCTCTTTCATCAAACTCATTTAGAGGCGTTCAGTCAGAGTGACTGCATGAGGACTGTTGTCATTGAGATGGTTTGAAAAGATTTCGATACTTCCTCTCTCTCTCTCTCTCCCTCTTCCAACTGTTTTCGCCAATGAAAAGAAACTCACATGGAATCCTTTTGAACCGTAGCATTTGCAAAACATTCTTTTTCTCTTTTCTTCATCATCAGCAGTGTTTGAGTTAAAGGAGCATCAGAAGGTTTGGTCGGACTGTAACAAACAGTTCATTAAGCTGCATTAGACAACTACACACACACACACAAACCTATTAGTCGAAGATCGAAGAACTTTACGTTCTGCTGAACGTTTTTTAATTTTCTCTTTCTTGCCATCATTCTTTTTATCTTCTTTAATAGGTTTACTATAACAAGCATATAGATTGAAGCTTCATCCTCATCAGATGTTACCTTGTACGGAATATTCCTAATTCTAATTTGCGACCTATTGCTTCCATTTAATACCCTGCAAAGTTCAAAGATAACAATGAGTAAAGAAAGATGAATAAAGTAAAGAAAAATGACGAAAGAAGAGTCGAACGACGTAAGTAAAGACATTCTGAATATCAGTTGCAAGTCTAAAGATCAGATAACATCACATGTCTGTTTTCATATAGTAAAGAACAAATATACTATACGAACATACCTAATGAGCTTAAATCTTATAAAAAAGGGATAAAAATCAATTTTTAAACTAACAAAATATAAAAATGTCTTCAAAGAGTAAGATAGAGAGAGAAGAGAGAAGAGATGGAGAGAGAGAGAGAGGGAGGGTCATAGAGAGAGGGAGACACATGTATCTATTCACTTAAAAAATAGATAAACAGGCGGAATACAAAGGCAAACGATTCTAATGAATCATTTTATAGGAGGAGGAAATAAACAATGCGAAACGGTCCATCTTTCTCTCTCTCATACACAAACACATACACACATAAGACATTAGACCTCCGTATCAACTAACTATATCTATATGAATGAGCTTTGGCATAAGGTATCGCATGACTTGAAACTTTTAGAAGTGTTAAGCATGAGACTTCATCATCATTATCATTTTGCAGAGAACTCTTTTCAATACGTCACAATGATGCCGTCAATTCTCTGAGCATTCAGAGAAATGAGAAAGGGAAGAGATTTTCAAAGTTTTGAAGGAACAAAAAGATTCGCAAATGAGAGACAGAGAGGTAATGATGGAACATTGAGGAAGTTGGGAGAGATGAGATTATAAGAGAAAATATGGAAAAAACGAATATTGGCAGACATAAGATAGATAGATTGAGAGAGAGAGGGAAAGAGAAAGAGAGAGAGAAAGAGATTGAGAGAGATGACAACTCAACAACAGGGGAATAACTAGAAAAAGGAGAGAAAAAGCATAGTGTATGTTATGCTCAGTTGACATCTTTTGTATTGATGAAGCACGAAGAGGCAACAGTTGCCTCATTCAAGCTGTCTAGGTAGAGTTAACTAAGAAACCAGCTGAGCTATTAGGTGAAACAACACATATCAAGAGACAAGTCATATATGTCCAATAGCTATTTCAATTAGAAAAGGTTTGTTCAAAGCAGAAAGAGAGAGAGAGGTGAGAGAGAGAGGTGCTGTCCACTCTATACGATAACACAATAGTTTGATGAAAGCACAATAAGAGGTCAGGTTTTAATCTACAAAAGCTTAATTTCAACATTAAAATGAATCAATTGGCCCGATCATTGGGTCTTTTCGATAGATTTCTGTCGACTTCCTTCCCTTTCCTCCCTTCTCCCTCTCTATGCCTCCCTTTCTCTCTTCATCATCTTCTTCTATTCAGGAAGAATATCTATGAAAATGATCAAACACATATTCCAATAAGATAAATCTCGCCCTAGCTTTAGAAATCTTTTTAATAATCATAATTAATAAAAATACATAGATAGAGATATAGACACCTCACACGTATACACCTCACCTCACCTCACACACACACACACATCCCACACACCCATCTACTTCATCTACAGATCTCACACATGCACTCACTGTTTCAGAAGACAAAAAAAATAAAGAGAGAAGAGAAAGCTTATTTTCGCTAAAAACAATTAAAAAGAAGAAGATATCAGGTGTTTCATTGAGAGATCATCATAATTTCAAATCATTACTATGCCTCTCTATCACTCTCCTGATTATTAAACATCTCTAATTAGATTGAGCTTCTTCGTCCTCTCTTCAACATCTATACTATCTTATTCAAGAGGTTTAAATAAAAAGAAATATTTTGAAGCAAAAATGATGAAAAAAAAAAAGAAAAAGAAAAGAAATAGTTAGAAGAATACTACATGAAAGACTATCCAATAGATTATCCTTCATCAGAAGATCTATCATTTGATTTACTCACACACACACAGATACACTCACACACTCACAGCCACACAGTTTCGCTATCAAGAAGATTAAGCAACTGGAAGAAATGCTTCGAAATGCCGACTTAATAAAAAGCCAAAAAATGTTTGTTTAGAACTTGAAGCTGACGGATTTTGCTCCGTTTAAGTCTCTATCCTGACACAACAACCAGATATATGAGACCATTGAACAATTAAGGAACATCATAAGAGCATGCAAAAACAACAAAATAAACGGAAATTGTTAACTCACTTTCTCTTCTTTTTTTCAAACATTTTTCCGGATAATTTGAATTGGATACAACCGGCTCTTCCCTCATCCTTCTTGTCAAAATGAAAATTCCCCTTCCACGTACAACGTTCATTACGTGAACATTCACGTAGATATATGCTCACGTGGAAATCTAGAATATAATTTTGAATAAAGCATAACTATAACATCAGATATATTTATAATCAATAGACTGTTTGTTTGAATGTTTACTTGTTTGTTTGTTTGTTGCATTGGGCGGTAGAGAACCCTCCCCGCTAACTTGTAGTTGAAACATGTGTTTGTAGTTTCATAAACCAACTCGTAAATACTGTTTCTCGTAGTACAAAAAAGGAAATGAAGATAAGTAGAATTTGAAGCTTTATTAAGTAATCTATGAATACTTTTGGCAAGAAAAATGATTTCAACATAGAATTAAAAGAGAGAGAGAGAGAGAGAATAAGAGAGAGGAGAAGGAGAGAGAGAGAGAGAGAGAGAGAGAATGAATGAATGAAAACATTGAAAAACCAAAAAACAGAAAGAAGAAGAAGAAGAAGATAGAAGAAGTCTCATTATAATTATAAAATGAAACATACAAAAATAATAATAAAATACTAATAGATCTCGAATATTAAGTAGCGAGGGGAACGCATAGTTGGTTGACCATCTCTATATTTACAAGTTTGTTTGTTCTTTAAATCTAAGCGGTAAATCTAAGGTAAAACACGAAAGAATGAAGAAAGCATAACAATGAGATATTGGAGTTCAAAGTGAATCGTTTGCGGAACCAAAAAAACAAATCTTAAAGATCATACACAAATCATCTTAAAATTCTTGTTGAATGAGAACAGCCAATATACATCTGGTATACAATTGAAGAGAGAGGGAGGGAGGGAGAGAGAGAGAGAGAGAGAGTAGGGAAGGGAGGGAAATATAAAAATTTGAAAAGCTAATGAAAACAACTTGAAGTTTGAAATGAAAATATGTAAATGGTTTAAGGGAGGGATAGAGAGAGAGAGAGAAAGGAGTACAAGGTGGAGAAATAGGAGAGGGGAGAGGGCTGAACAGATAAATTCAATCCATATAAGAATGATATCGACTAGATAGTTTAGAGTTTCATCTAGACACAAAGCCATACGGCTCAAACTACGAGGTTGTATGATGGGAGAGAGAGAGGAAGTAGGGAGGATATAGAAGGCACTCGTTGTAACACGGTCTCACATACTCACACAGACACACAGTTTGTTTGTTTTTTTCTTTCTTTGACCCGAGTAAAAGAAAAATTATACAGCAAAAAGCTTAACTCAGAAGAGAGGAATATGATGATGATGATGATGATGATGATAGTGATGATGATGAATGTATGAGGTCGAAAGGTAGGTTGGAAGGAAGGAAGATGAATATCAAAAGCTTTGTGGTTGTGGAGAGAAGAGGGGAAGAAGACATATAAAGACACTATACAGACAAAACTTCAATGATATGTATGTTTTACTGTTATAATTTATGCCATATAATGGCATAGTATATTTTCCGAATGGTGAAGAAGAGAAGTTCTTCTTTCAATGATTCAAATAAGCTGTTTCATCATGTAAATGATAGCTAATCATTCATGAAAAGACTTTTTCTATTTTTTCCATTCCTGACTGCATTCGTTTACATTTGGCACGTCGATTCTTGAACCAAATCTGAATATGGTTATAGTTAGCATAACTATATGTAATATAAATGATTTACCTTAACATTATGTTGACTGATATGTGGATAATTCTCCCGATATGGGCAATTATTTAACATTTGAGTATATTGATCAATCTGCATCCATGTTGGATGTGGATTATCTTCAAACCATTTCTCCAATATAGGTAATTCAGTCAATGGATCAAACATGAGACGTGAACGAGCTAGAACATCATATTATTAACTATATTAATTATATTATATAAATTACATTGTGATCCAATTCCCAAACTATTATTTGTATTTGAAGAAGCTGTTGTTGAGCTGGCTGTCTGAATACTTCCAAAGTTTTCAGTTCCATGACGTGGTGATGATCCAGCTAATGAATTGGATCCAATATGTAATGATAGGTCAGGTGATGATGCTGTTGATTCCTGCAAAAACTTAAAAATTTATTTATTTCATCCAAAATCAAGGTCCCTATATGGTGTATGTCTATGTATGTATGTGTGTGGGTGTGTGGGTGGATGGATGGATGGATGGGGTTGAAAGATTTTCCTTTTTTTTGTTTCTTTTTATTTTCAATTGTTGATGAGAGTAGAGCCCATTCTTGGCATCTTTCACAAATCTTTTTAATTCGAGATTTAATTTAAGTCAATTTCTATCTTACTCCTCTTTCACTCTCTCTCCTTATTTGGCTTAAGACAATTGAGATAAAGATTAATGAAAGGATGTTCTTTTTCAATTAGTTCAGATGAATCATCTAGGGAAATCATTACTCAAAAGATAAAGTTTAAGCTTCATTTCAGAATCTAAACTAATCCCCCTTCTTGCTTACGAGGATTAAGCTTTCACACTCCCACATACACAAATTCCTTCAACCCTCTCTCTCTCTCTCCCTCTCTCTCTCTCTCTCTTGATAATTACTTTCAGTCTATTCGTCTTGCCAATCGAATCATCTGTCTACAGGTGCGCTTACTCATGGACATTTCATTTCAATTTTCAAAATCTTCCATTCGCACACACTTAGATATATCCCAGATAACATCGGAATCGTTCTCTTCAACTTATCCGAAGGCCGAATCATTTGATTTCTAAAGGCCAAAAACCAGTTAGATCTAGATGTCTGAAGGATGAAGCTTTCACTTCATACACTACGTTTCGTTTTTTCAGTTTCGAAAAAATTTTTGTATGGAAATGTTTCTTTGATTTCGTTTCAGAGAGAATGTCTTATTGCAACAAGGTCAGCTAGACTGACTGCAAGCAGCTTGTCTACTCTCTCTCTCTCTCTTTCCGATAAAATCTTCGTGGATGGCATTTTCAAATTGGAAACTAAACGCAAAATCTGAAGATTAACGGCTAATCTTTTCTTGAATGCAACTTCCTATTGGTAGAACGAAAGAAAGAAAAACGAAAACGATGTATGTAACTACCTCATTTGAATATGTCTGTGTGTGTGTCTGTATTTGGCTTTCATGCTTCATCTATGTATTCTCTTTACCAACCTCTCCGCTGACCTGCTTAAATTCATTGGCTCCATCACTGTTACTGTGAATCTCATCATCGCCAGGGCTTGGTGAATCGGATCCTCCATCAACACGGAGAATATCCTGGAAGAGATACTAAAATAAAATATAATTAATATAATTATAAAAGGTATCCTGATAAGGGGTAGGAGGTGATGATGTAGATTACAGAAAGATGGGGTCAACAGGTTAATATCTACAACTAACGAAGAGAAATCTCATATTTACCTTCCAATCAGCTGTTGAGATGTTCTCATCCGTAGATTTCTGGCAGCTATCGATAAGATTAGAAAAATCTATTTTCGGTCTGTAGTCAGCGAGTATGGCTGGCAGAGATGCTTGAATCTAAAAGAACTCGAATGTGGTACAGAAGAGGAGTTGTTTATTTGATTAAGGATAAGCTTCAAAGGTCTATGATTATCATGCGTGGTATTCGATGTAAGTTAGCTTTTGAGGTTAGGGATATTACCTGTGAAATCTGAGTTTGTTGAGAAAAGCCATTACGCTTGTTTGCTCTCTGATTTTGGAACCAATTGCAAATCTAGAAGAAGGTACATGAATGATCGTATACTGTATGAATGAGTTACCTGTTGATATCCTATTTTGGGGTGATTCTTCCGATATGAACTGTTATTTAATGTATTCATATAGTTAACAAGCTTTGGTCGGCTTGGGTTTGGATCAGCTTTGAACCATTTCTCCAGGCGAGGTACTTCATGGAAGCTGTTGAAACGAACTTGTGATACCGGACTGTAACGATGTCTATGATAAAACAGTTGATTAACATATTCAATTGATTTTTCAGTAAGACTGATCACGTGGAACACGTGAAAATCCAACGCGAAAGTTTATTTTCAAGATCAGTAATGTGCAGAGCGGTTGTTCATGAATGCGCTTGAGAGTGACAAGAGAGAAGAAGATTGTAGTTTGATTTCATTATCATTAGCGAGTAAACTATATACGTATAGTTAAGTATGATAAATGATCCCCATCCTTAACTATTAGATTATAGTAAATCTTTTAGTTTAGAAAAGAACATAACATAACTCAAAATCATGATATCGGCTTAAGTTTGTAGTTGATTCTATATATTATGACTGAGCGAATAATGCGATTATCACACTTCACCTCTGTGCCACACCCTATTCACATTCTCTTTATATCTTTTTTTCTCTTTATAACAAGATAGATAGAGAGTTACTCTCTATAGTAACATCATGAAGCAAAGATATAACATCCGCAGCCTGAACCCTCCTTTCCTCCCTCGTCATCCGGATTACCGTAACCTCATTGAATATTCAAATGCTCATCTTGACTTCCCTCCTATCACTATTACTATATACATAATAATGAATTGTAACGAAGACGACAAAATACATTTTCAATCAATTGTTTTCTTCAGATGTTGTCAGATGTCAGAAGATTGAAGTTAACATCAAACTTTGAGAAGAACAAGTTTCTTTTATGAAGTCGATATGTCCTTCAAATGAATCATTCGAGTTATAAATATCATTTGTGCCAAGTCCCTTTCAATCCTCAAGCCATTACTTCTTATAAAACACACGTCTGTATACTCTCACTCTCTCTCTATCTTACTTCTTCTCTCTCTCTCTCTATCTATCTATCTCTCTCTTTCTTTTACTCTCACCCGCTCATCATTCATTCTTCTACTTTTTAGTTGAGTGGAACGGTATGCGAGAATGATTTGCTTATGCAAAACGAAAACAACAACAACAACAAGACTTTTAGCATCCTTCAAGCAGAGAGTGTAACCATCGTACCTCAAAAATCTATTTCTCGTGACGAGAAAACGTTTCTTGAATGATCTGCCGTTCCACTACCAAAAGTAGTATTATTTAATCATAATTGCAAGTTCTCTTCTCACTGCTTTCTCCTCTTGTATGGATGCTTATCCACATCGCAAAACAAGTTTACTTTTTGATTTTCTTTTCATTCAATTCTCAACACAGACAAAAAAGAAGTAGGAACAAGATCTTGGCAGGACGAATGAAGGAAGCCAATGTAGCTTCATTTCAATTTCCCTTTTCACTCATCAGCTTTCAAGTGTCCAAAAAAACGAATTTGTACCGTTCGCTCTCGTATAATGTCTCAATTTTTTTTTTTGAGTCAAACACCTCGCCATAGAAGTGATTGAACGAAGCACCGGATGAATCAGAACCGGAAATAGTCCGGCTGTAGAGGACCGGAGAACTTTGCGTTAAAAAAGGAAAAAAAAATTCGAAAGAGTATTGAGATTGACGAGAGAAAACACTTTGATCGAATAACAGACAGCCAATAACCAGCAAGCTAGTCTGCTCTAGAAAGAGCGGAAACTAGCTACCGTATACCGATGAGATCCAGAATTTGAGATGCGATGCAAAACATTGAGAAACAAAAAAATATACAAAAGATCCTTATAAGGTCATTTACTTAGTTGAAATCGAACAAATAATTGTTGGAAACAACCAAATAATGATGTGTTTTGCAACTTTATGAAAGCTTATCCCTACTCTCTCTCTCTCTGATAGACTTTCGTTTTCGAGACTCCCTTCCGGAACCTCATGAAGCGATGAAATCAATTACTACTCTTCTGATTATCTCTTCTCCTAGCTACGTTTCAGAAAACCAGATAGAAAGGCAAATGAAGATGAATGGATTAGTCACGCAGAGCAGAATCATCAATTTTGATGAACAAAAGTGCACCAACTCATGTTGAAGTTAATTAAAATCTGAATGAATGACAATGACGTACCTCCTTCGTTCATCAGCAAGATCAATTGTTTCAATCCAATCATTGATAGCATTGATTTGATCATGATTAAGCATAGTTGGATCATCTCCAGCAATAATTTGTGTTATGATATCCTATAAGTAGCATATAGCTAATATCATTAACTATGCTATTCATACTTTAATTTGTTGATTTTCGACTGTATTCAGAATATTTGGATTCTTACTGATAGCAGTACGAAGCAAGCGCTGCTTGAGATCGTTTATGCATTGCTGGCTGGCAGAATCTGAGCTGGTCCTGAAACGATTTCAAATGAATTTTCGAAATAAAAAGTATTAGTCTCTCATAATTAATCTTTTCTTTTCATCTTATTTTCATTACAAAAATGAGATTGTCGCATGTTTATCATGAGGGTCTCGGGCTGATGGAGTGAGAGTGAGCGAGAAAGAGAGGTAGGGATGGTAGGGGGGGGGGGGGGGGGCTCCT